AGGTAAAAACACATCCTAAGAATTATTTACATAAATTTTTACATGGTGTAAGTAATTTGAAGATGGCTTAAAAGCATATGGGAGAATGTGAATGGGTTACATGCAAGCACTACATCATTTAATGTAAGGAATCTGAACACGCTCAACCTTGGTATCCACAGGGAAGCGGTTACCCTACAACCAACCCCTTAGACATCGCGGGATGTCTGTACAGCATAGGTTCTTCCCCTGACCCAAATCAACAGAATTAAGATATTTATGTGTATAACATCTTGGATACTTAATGGAGGCAAATTAGTATCAGCAATATGTTTCCTAGTGATACTACAAAAAAAAAGATCACTGAAAATTATAGAATGAAACAATACTCCAATTGAGACAGCCAGAGACCAAGTGCACTGCAGGCAACTTCACGCTATAAGCTTAGGCAAACAATCTATTCTTTCAAGATCCCTCCAAAAACAGAAGGATTTAATCCTAGAGGACCTTGTAGCATAGATTATCACTTCAGAAACAAACCAACAAAATGCAAAATTGTCTCACAGACTCAAATGACCTTTCAGAGCCTCACTTCAGAGAAATGGGTCCAAACTACTTTGGCATAGGCTCCCGTAAGGCTCTCCTGAAATTGTCTAGCATCACCAAAACATTTTATTGGTTCAGCTGGTAAAACAGAAAACTAGGTAAGGGTATGAGGTTCTTCCAATTACCAAAGTTGGTGATATATGCAGTGATGAATCATAAGTTCAAGATAAAACAGCAAAGCTTTACATGTACTGTGCTGCTGAAAGCTTCATTTCAAACTGAAGATATATATTGTATATATTCAGTATAAATAAGTATAAATAAGTATAAATAAGAAGAATTATGCTCAATGGCACAGAAAGAACTGGGATGTCTCACGTGCTTAGTAAATGAAAGGGAACTTTCAAACACATACTTAATTTCCCTAATTTCTAGCCTGTCTTCCTATGGGGAGTAACCAGCCCCCCCCTTTTTTTAAAGCAACCAACTTGATATCATTGTATCTTTTAACTGTAACCACAACTCAAATTTTTGGTCTTAAACAATTCTCCCGGTTCTCATCTCACACCCTCCTTCCCCATCACTCCACCCATTATTCCCCATTGTCTCTGTTCATCAAGCTTACCCGACATGACTGGAAACTGTTTCGAGTACTGTTTTGGGTACAGGTATTAAAATTTTGCCGCTTTACTCTACTAGTCCTAGCACATGCTTAGCAAACCAAAGAAACTCAACAAATATTTGCTGATTTAAGCAATAAAGACGATCACCTACTCTGTACAAAGTTGGTCTCAGCATAATAAGGAATAAAGACAAAACACAGGAAGGAGGACCCAGCTAAATTCTAGTATTGCATCTGCTGGGCTCATGTCCTAGCTGCTTCTCATCCACCCCCTGCCTGTGGCCTGGGGAGGCAATGGAAGATAGCAGAAAGCCTGGAGATGTGAAAGAAGCTCCTGGTGGCCACTGGGGAGTGAACCAATGGATCAAAGATCTTTCTGTCTCTCCTTCTCTCTGTATATCTGCCCTTCAAATGAAGTTAAAAAAAAAAAAAAAAAAAAAACCTTTAAAACAAGCCAAAACACTGGAAGGAGTGGCAATGCTCAGTCTCCTTCCCAGAATTATCAGCTGGTAATCCACGCTATGCAATGCAGTAAAAAAGCCATCAGTGCTACATAGAGACTTCTGCAGCATGCTGCGGAAACTAAGCATCCAAGGGGCCCAGAGTGATGGCTCAACCAGCTAATCCTCTACTTCCAAGTGCCAGCATCCCATGGGGGTGCCAGTTTGTTGGGGCCCGTGCAGTATATGTGGGGGACATGAGTGGGTGAGAGTGTTCCATTGCAGGCAGGGCCGCAAGGAATTTCCTGCTGTTTGGCAGGGCCTGCCCAGCGGATGTCTCTACAACCACCTGAATGCAGCTCCACCTTCTTTTGCATGGACACCAGACCACCCTGCGGGAAGAATTCTAATCCATCCTGGCATTTGCTACTGCGAGGTTAACCTTTTGCTCAGCCTGAGTTTGGAGGTCAATATCTTGCAAAAAGGGCCCTTTATCATTCCTACTGTCTTGGCTGTCCCCATTGAACCTATGCTAATCAAGGGACCTGTATTTAGGCTTTCATTCTTTCCTTGATCTTTAAGTTCTCGTTTTCTTTGTGATACAAGATTGAAGTGTAGGATAAGAATTGTAGCAGGAACTTCTAGGTACTGGCAGCAGGAACTAGGTAATACTATGGCAAGAGTTATCTTTAGAAACACCCACTTGACCATGAAGTAAAAAGTCTGGGCCAGAGTTTGACTGATTTTGTATAAACAAAGCGGACAGCTTTTGTGCGTTGGCCATTATGATCATGAAGTCCTAGTGGTCCGTCTCTTTCTTTCCTCTTTACGCCTCATCCAAGCTCCGTTCGCGAGTTCCAAACTCAGCTGGAGCTGGACTCCGGCACCAGTTCATGTCCTAGCTGCTCCATTTCCCATCCAGCTCCCTGCTTGTGCCTAGGGAAAGCAGTGGAGGATGGTCTAAAGTCTTGGGATGCTGTATCCATGTAGGAGACCCAGAAGGAACTCCTGGCTCTGGATGGCCATTTCGGGAAGTGAACCAGTGGATCGAAGACCTTTCTCTTTCTAGCTCTTATTCTCTCTGTAAATCTGCCTTGCCAATAAAAAAAGAAGGGTCTAGCCACCACTAGGGACTCAACACGAACTATATTTATTTGGGGCAAAAAGCACACGAAGGGATTTTTGTGCATGGCCCAGCTTGGTGACTAATCAGTAACATTCTTCAACACAATTGGTACTGGATGTCTCTGGCCCAAGCCAGAGTCTACCATTCTACTCAGACAAGGGATTTTACCATTTCTTTAGCAATTCACAGATTACACTAAAACCAGCTTTGCCAAAAATGAACTAACTTATGGTGAGAAGTTGGGGGAAGTGTGTCCCTTCCTCTGTCTTCCACCAGACATTCAAATCCTGCCTCATTGGTGTAATAATTGGTACCCAATTAGAGCCTATGCACTATTGTTTGCCTGTACAATTAAAGAGGGGACACTGCTGAGGCCAGCAACGTCTCCCCTAACAGAGTAGTGACCAGGGACCAGTGCCTGCATCCTGTGACCTATAAGGAACACCACTTAATAACGCTTTCTCAGACCACACATGACCCACAACCAAGAACCCTGTTCTGAGTATTTCTCCAATGAACCAGTAACACTGTCATCCATCGACAAATAAGGACTCAATGCTGAGACAAAAAGCTTTTCATTAATAAAGAATTAGCCAGCTTTCTTTTCTTGTCATGATAGAACAAGCACACACACACACAACTGCTGAAAATTTGATTCAAGGGAACGTGGAAAACTCAGGAGAGCAACGGCTTTGGATTTAAGTGAATATACCCAATCTCTTCCAGAAGTTTTGATTTGCCTGAACTGAAAAACGTGACAGATTTAAGACAGTTAGCAGTAGACACCACAGTTTAACAGACTTTGGAAAACCGCGTGAAATCGACACATGGAGCGACCAGCCACTCCCAACTTGGCACATGTGAATGGCTCTACTTCCACCTGCTTTTGAACCACTCTGCCCAATGTCCTTCACTCCTTTCTTCTCAATACAATTTATTACATCAAAATGCCAACCTTACTTCTCAAGCCTAGAATCACACTAGAAACAATCAGAACAGAGCAAAACGGAACGTTCAATTCTCTCGAGCACAGTGGGCCTTTGCACCTCGAGGCCCAGGGCCATCTCTCCAGCCAGCCCCCCAGAACACACCGCTGCGAACGGTTTCCAGCTACGTGGTTTTTAAACACGGTTAGTCTTGGAGAAGACTGACACCCAACTTTCGCTTCCTTGAGCAGCCAGTTCCACAGGTTGATTCCTCATTCCATTATAACTGATTTTTATGTGCTCTTAAATCAAACTCTCTCAAATTAAGCCTGAAGGTTCAAATTAACGTTACGCAGGATACTCAATAGGCTTTAAAATCTCCGCTAGAAGGGAAAATGTTACACCTGAAGAGTTGCGTTCAAGACTAGGGCTGGCACATCCTGAAACCCGTGCCAAAGTTGCTCAAAGTGACGGAAACCCCAAAGCTCTCAATGACCACCTCCTCCCCGCCGCCCCCCTCACCTGGTTGAACTCCTCATCAGCGTATATATCAATCAGGTCCACTCCTTCTGACATGGCTCCGCAAGGAAGATCTCAAGTCCGGAGAAGGGACAAAGTAAAGAAGGAAGCCACTGCGGTATGCAGAAGAAGCCCCACGATTAGAAAGGCAGGAGAGGGTCCCAGGCCGGGAGGAGAGGCAGGGATGGTCCGGCCGCCCCGCCCCCGGCCTCGCGCCGCCTCGCACCCTGCCCAGCTCTCCCCGGCCGTCCGGGCTCGCGGGGCTCGCTGCCCATCATCACCCAGGGGCCCCGACCCGAGTGGCGCCGCTGCTGCCGGGAGCAGGGCGCGACCCCAGAGTCCAGGCCTCGGCTCGCAGTCGCCTTCTTCGAGCCGGACGGCGAAGCCCGCCTACCCGCACCTGCCCAAGCCCCGAGGCGACCCCAGCCAGGGTGCCGTCGGTCCCGGCAGCTTCCATCCGCCCCTGCCTCTCCCTCCCGGCCCAATCCTCGCCCCCGGCTAGCGCGGCCTGCCCCATTCCCTCCCAACAGACCCGGCCCGGCGCGCTTGGCCCCTCCCTCCAAGGCCCGCACCTCCCTCCGCGCGCCGCCTCCGGCCAGGCCCTAAGCTCAACCGACCCCCTCCCCGCCTCAGCCGCGGCCCAGGCCCTTCTTCCGGCCCCGCCGGCCCACGGCCGCGCGCCCCCGTTACCGGGAATATGGCGGCGGCGGCGGCGAGTCCGGACTAGGCCCGAAGCGCGCGAACCGCTCTCCACCCCAGGCCCCGCCCCCCGCCACCGGCGTCACACGCACCGCTACTTCCGCCATGCGCAAGCACGCACCTTCCGGCTCAGGTCTCCTGGCGGCCGCGGTTCGCTGGTGGGGTCAACAGGAGTTTCCGGAAGTGGGCAGGGGCAGGCTTTCTTCCGGAGTGGGTTGGGAAAAAATGGCGGCGGCGGTCCGTGCGTTCCCGGCGGTGGCACGGGTGAGGCAATCGGAGATAGGGTCTGGGGCCCGGGCTGAGGGGCTAGGGTTTCGGTTTTTGACGGCCTTGGAGCCCAAAGGGGGCGTTCAGCTGTGCGGGAGCCCAGGGTAAAGGGAGGACCCAAGGAGAGGTCTGTCCTGCAGTTGACATTGAGATCGGGTCCAGCTTTTTGGTTGAACCTGCGTTGGGCTCCGGCTGTCGCAGGTGCCTGAGAACTCGGCCTTGGGGGGCGACCAGCCTCAATTCTCACCTGTTCTAAGCACTTTGAAATGCCTTTCCCGACTTCACAGTCTCCTGAGTTCTTCGTACTCTTTGTGGATGTGGACGTTGACCACTATACACCTCACTTTCAAAACTCCTGTTGTTGTTGCAACTCGTCATTTCTTGGGTGTTGGATTTTTGGTTTTTGTCTTAAGATGTCTTATTTAGCTCCTTTTTGAGTTCTGATTTGGCCCGTTGGGCTGTTTTAGGAGTGCATTAATACCACGAATTTGTGAATGTTCCTGTTTTCTTCCTGTTAATGATTTCTGGTGTGTTTTTTTTTTCCCTTCTGAGGTTAGAAAAGATAATCTAGTTGAATTGTTTTCCCCATGAAGTCTTCTTCCGTTTACTGAGATTTGCTTTCAGTGCTTCCGAGGGGTGTGTTTTGACTGTGTGCGAATCTGTTAGGTCCCTGTGATCCACAACACTTGGTTTCCTTGGTTACTGGCCTCTGGAATGTTTTGTCCGAAGTTGCAGTTACTGGGTTGCTGGCAGTGTCCTCCTTCACTTCTGCGTGGTTTTACTAGGTGTATTTGGATATTCTGACCTTGGGTAATCTATTTGTAGTTCGACCTTTCTGGCCAATTAACGTTTTTGATCATTATACTTGTTCAATGTCTTTCTTTGTGTCGTGTGGCAAATTTGACTCAGAGTCTGTTTTGTCTGTGTTAAGTAGGTCATCCGTGTGCTCTTGGTGACCATTGCCATGGAATGTCACTTCCTATCGTTTCAGCCTATGTATGTCCTTAAAATCTGCAGCGATTGTCTTCTGTAGACTGTGTGTCTTGATCCCCGCCCCATTCAGCCACTCTTATCTTAAAGATTTATTTATTTTTATTGGAAAGGCAGATTTATGGAGAGAAGGAAAGACAAATCTCCCATCCGCTGGTTCAGTCCGCAAGTGGCTGCAATGGCTAATGCTGAGCTGATCCAGGGTCAGGAGCAGGAGCCTCTTCTGGATCTCCTAGCTGGGTCCAAACGTCCAAGCACCTGAGCCCTATTTCGCTGCTTTCCTAGGGACAGTGGCAGGAAGCCAGATTGTAAGTGGAGCAGTCGGGACTTGAACCATAGAGATATTGTGGTGGTGTGTTAACGTGCTGAGCCACAACACCAGCCCCATTGTATACAACTTAAAAGTGATTTACACTTTTAACTTGACAGAGAGGGCAACCCTCACCCTCTCTGATTTATGCTTGCACCAATAGGAACAATCAAGTTTTTAAAAAGGGAGATCTGAAACTCCTGCCAGGACATAGTCCCTGCTGGTGAGTACAAGAGCCAAGAAAGGTAGCAGCCCAGACCAGACCAGACCAGGGTAGGTACCCACCGGCATACATTTCGCATAGGTCGGGGTCAGAACAGGCTGAACCAGTTCACATCACCCACTGGCGAATCCAAGCACCAGAACAGAGTGTGGGTTGGGCCAGGTTCGGTCGCAAAACATACCAGTACATATAACGGCTGGAACTGGGTGCTTGCTGGGCTGGGATAGGCTGTAACCCTCACTGGCATCAGTGGGAATTGTGGGTGGCCGGGCTGGGTCAGGCTACAGACCCACTGGCAAATGCCGAGGTGAGGCAGGCCATGCCAGAGTGGGCTGCAGCACCCAACCGGCACATGTAAGAACCAGAGGGGTAGAGGGCAAAGCCAGCAGGGGAAATGTGGAGGGCTCCCCTGCTGGACCACCACTCCCACTGGAGAGCGTGAGTTGAGATGGGGACAGACCAGACCAGGCATGGCTGCAAAACCTGTGGACCTCATGTGAGCTAGATCAGGGAAAAGCCAGGCTGGGCTGATTGTCCCTGCTGGTGTAACCAAAACTAGAGTGGGTGAGGGTTGGTTGGGCTTTGCCACAGCATCAGCTGGTAGAGGCTGGCACTGGGGGCTAATTCTGTCAAGTTAAACTGCAAAACCACCTGGAGAGTGCATGATCTGAGAGTGGGAGTGGCCCAGTGGGGAATTGGTGGGCACCTGCCTCTTGCGCTACCACTCCCACTTGGAGAGCATGAGAACCAGGACTAGGGCAGGGATGGCTAGACAGAACAGCACCCGGCTGCATATGGGTGGGCTGTTTAATAGGGCTGGTTGGGTTGAACTAGGCTTCAATATCCATTGACATATAAGAGCTGAATGGGATGTGGGTCAGGCTGAACAAGTCTGTAGTACATTACTGGCAGGCATGGGAACCAGGGTAGGGGGCAGACCTGTGGGGGTTTATGGGGAGTCGACCCGACTAGGCTGCATTTCTCACTGGTTTGCATGAGGGTGGAGTGAAGTGTGCCGGAGTCCAGCTCCAGCTGAGTTCGGAACTGGCGAAGGGTGCGTGGATGAGGCACAAAGAAAGAAAGACGGACCACTAGGAATTCTTGATCATAATGGATGATGCACAAAAGCTGTTCGCTTTATTTATACAAAATCAGTCAAACTCTGGCTCAGACTTTTTATGTCATGGTCAAGTGGGTGTTTCTAAAGATAACTGCCATTTGTTTCACCTAAGGCTAGGATGTTATCCACCTGGCACCTGGCTAGGAAAAAGTTCTCAATGGATAGATGGTGCATATCAATCAGTAACACATTCCTACCACAATTCTCATTCTACAGCTTGGTCTTGAGACAATCAAGAAAGGAAGGACTTCACAGGAGGAACCTAAAAGATCAAAGAAAGAGGGAAAGAATAGATTCCACTACATCTGAAGACAGGACACCCTTGATTAGCATAGGATCAAAAGGGGAGTTAGCACCCTTGATTACCATAATGCCACAGGATGCAGCCCTAACAGCAATAACAGCTTTTTGGCTAAAAAATGGTAACAGCAACATCAGCTTCTAAGCTCCTATTGATATTTAACAGTAACTCCACAGAGGCAGACAATGCCTAAATAGATAACAGAAATCTCAATGGAGTTGTCTGGTGTCCATGCAAAGGGAGGTGGAGCTGCATTCAGGTGTTGTAGAGACATTCGCTGGGCCCTGCCAAACAGCAGGAAGTCGGCCCTGCCTGCAATAGAATGATACTCTTCACACCTTCCTGTCTTCCACACCCATCACATGGACCCCAGCAGAAGTGGGCAGGATCGGGCTGGACTGCAACACCCATTGGTTCATGTGGAAGACAGGGCTGGAAACAGACTGACCCAACAATTACAACCACCAGCATGTGCATAAGCTGATTGGGCGATGGACTGTGCCAGACCCTGTACTGGCAAGCACACGCAAGAATCAGGTCTAGGGATCACCTCAGATAAAGTTTCTTTGGAAATCTCTTCAACTGAGCTGCTGATCTCAGAACCCCAACTATGAAGAGACCACGTCAGTCAGTGGATTTTGGAGAGATTTCATCATGCTTGGAATGATGAGACTGGCAGCAATTCAGAACTGCTGAACTATCAAACTGCTTGAGCAGGACCCTCGAACATGCCCCACATCAGGAACCTGGGACAGATGGGAGGCTGGGTGGGGCTTTTCCCTTTATCTCTCCCCTTACCCCAGACACAGGGAAAAAATAATATTGGGCCCAGCGCGATAACGTAGTGGTTAAAGTTCTTGCCTTGCACGCGCCTGGGTTGGCCCCGCTTCCCATCCAACTCCCTGCTTGTGGCTTGGGAAAGCAGGAGAGGACGGCCCAAAGCCTAGGGACCCTGCACCTGTGTGAGAGACCCAGAAGAGCTCCTGGCTTTTGGCTTTGCATCGGTGCTGTACCGGCCATTGTGGTCACTTGGGGAGTGAATCATTGGACGGAAGATCTTTCTGTCTGTCTCTTCTCCTTTCTGTATATCTGCCTTTCCAATAAAAATAAATAAGTCTTTTTAAAAAATAATATTAATGTGGAAATAATGGGTCTTACCCACTTTCCTGTAGCCCTTGACCCTTTGTGCACTAATCAATGTGTAAAGATTGTCAAAATAATTTTTTTAGAAAAAGGAAGATTGAAGTTAATTTTCCAGTATTGATCATGATAGGCTCTCTTAATCCCTCATTTCCATGGAAATTTCTCATCCACTCATGTTACATTAGTGCAGATACTAGGATATCAGTGTACACGTCAGAATGTTCTAGAGAACTTGTTCCGGATATGATTGCCAGGGCCCAGTTCTAGAGATAGGACCCAAAATGACTAGAGTAGAGCTTAGAGAACTCTGAGTTTTCATTCTGTAGTCTGTTAGTTTGCTAGTGTTGTTACTATGGCTTGGATGTTTGTCTCCCTGAAGTCTTGTGTTAATGGAGATAGTCGGACAGACTGTCGTGACTGGGGATGTTGGCTTTTGGCGCTGACTGCATTGAATTGGTTCACTAGGGTGTGGAGCCCTCGGGACTAAATCCTGGTGGGTTTACGAGAACACACGGGTATAGGTGCACGGTGTATTCCCTGCCACGGGCCATGTGATGCTCCTCCCCATTTCACGGCTCTGCCAGCAAGATGCCATTGGGCCTACATAGTCTTAGACTATGAACCAACAGAAATGTGAGCTGTTATAATTCAGGCTGCCTCAGGTATTTTTTTGTTACGGTGATAAAAAGGTAACTAGAGGGCCCAGCACAGAGGCCTAGCGGCTAAAGTCCTCTCCTTGAACGTGCTGGGATCCCATATGGGCGCCGGTTCCAATCCTGGCAGCTCCACTTTCTATCCAGCTCCCTGCTTGTGGCCTGGGAAAGCAGTTGAGAACAGCCCAAAGCCTTGGGACTCTGCACCCATGTGGGAGACCTGGAAGAAGTTCCTAGCTCCTGGCTTCGGATCGGCATAGCATCGGCCATTGCGCTCACTTGGGGAGTGACTCATCAGACGGAAGATCTTTCTATCTTTCCTCCTCTCTGTATATCTGACTTTGTAATAAAAATGAACAAATCTTTAAAAAGAAAAAAGAAAAGGTGACTAGAACTACCGCCATTACAAAATACTACAATACCACAGTCCAGATAAGTTAAAATCCTCCCCTTGAACGTGCCGGGATCCCATATGGGAACCAGTTTTAACCCCAGATGCCCTGCTTCCCATCCAGCTCCCTGCTTGTGGCCTGGGAAAGCAGCAGAGGACAGCCCAAAGCCTTGGCACCTTACACCCGTGTGGGAGACCTGGAAGAAGCTCCTGGCTCCTGGCTTCAGAATGACTCAGTTCCGGCTGTTGCGACCACTTGGGGAGTGAATCAGCAGATGGAAGATCTTCCTCTCTGTCTCTCCTTTCTGTATATCTTCCTTTCCTATAACGATAATAAATACGTCTTAAAACAAATGCAAGATCAGAGTGTGCGCAGGCTCAGCTGCTCTGGAGATGGCTTTCTTTGGCTTTTCATCACAGAATACATACACACACTGTTTCCTTGGATTGACCAAAGCTTTTCTGTAAACCTAGTGAATTTTGTTTAATTTATTTTTTTTGTTTTAATGTCTTAGTTGATTAGGGTACAAAGGGTCAAGGGCTACAGGGTGAAAATGGGTAATAACCCTAATATTATCTCTTCTTCACTTCCAAAAATTTTAAAAAACTACTTTGTGTCTCTTGATTGATGTTATATTTTGTTCAACATTCACTCTCTTGAGGTAATTGGGCACCTTTGTGATGGTTATTTTGAATTCTTTGTTGGTAATTCATAAACCTCATTCTTTAATCCTCTGTCTGGGCCATGTTGCCTTGCTTCTTTGTGTACCTTCCATCTTTGTGTTGGGATCAGCACATTGGAAAAATTTCCAACTGTCCCAGTCTTTATGGACTGGCTTTGTACAAGGACCAGCTTTCACCATATAGCCTGATGAGGAATTCTGAGGACGTCTCAGTTCCTTTCTGTAGATGCATTTTTTTTTCTGGATTTATGAGTTTATGGAGATTTTCTCATGATCTCTTGCTCCCTCTAGCGCTTGTTTGTGGTACTGTAGTTTCTTTAAAGCTGTTGCTGGTCATTTCCCTGTCCGGTGGTCCCCAGCCTTGTAATGTATATCAGGCTCTGTCAGTGCCAACCTGTTTGGCAGCTCCTCCGCCCAAAATCTGAACATTGGGTGTATGTCTCGGACATTCCTTTTCCTCCCCACCTAGAAGCCAGGAGCTGGGAGTTTTCTCCTGGTCAGGCCATACTGCGTTGGGGAAGGGACCATTGCAGACGATTGCCCCAGATTGTCCTGCTGGTGTCAGGGCAGCTGGTTCTGCCGAACAGTGTTTGTATCTCTTACAGGGGGACTTGGTCTGCCTTTTTGAGTCAGTGTCTTGGGGAAGGGGGCTTCCTGTTTGTCTTTTTGCCAGTGTCACCATCTTCATGTTGTATCTTGAGAACTATGCCTTTCAGTAGATTGGGAACCTTTAGGAGTTTGGGGGCCACACTACCTGTATCCTCAGGGTCTCAGTGCACACCATACTGGGTTGTAAGAGACTGTAAAACAAGAAGATAGTTTTGTTGGGCTAATTTTTGAAAAGACATTATTTAACAATTTGTGTTTGGGGTCAGTGTTGTGGGTGCAGTAGATTAAGCTGCTGACCGTGACACAGGTCTGTCCTGTGATCTTCTAGGCCTGGCTACTCTGCTTCCGATCCAGTTCCTGCTAATGCCCCAGGGAAGCACAGAGGGAGAGCCTGGCTTCCGTCTGGTCCTGTCTTGGCCATTTGGGGAATGAACCAGAGGATGGAAGAAATTTCCCTTCCCTTCTCAGTGACTCTCTCACTCTGCCTTGCAAAGAAAGGAAAATTACTTTTTTTTTTTTTTTTTTTAAGATTGTGCAGTTAGTATTTTAGGATTGAGTACACTTTTGAAAACTATTTCAACTATTTTGCCTTTCTGTGCGGGGGTGGGGCTGCGAAGTGGAGACAATGTGAGCATTAACAGTTTCTCTTTTTTAAGATTTATTTCATTTACTTGAAAAAGTGACCTTCTATCCACTGGTTCAGTCTCAGATAGCTGCACCAACCAGGACTGGGCTGAAGCCAGGAGCCTGGTACTCTGTGGAGCTCTCCTATGTGAGTAGCACAGGCCCAAACGCCCAGGCCTCTGCTGCTTTCCAGTGCCTTAGCAGGGAGCTGAACTGGAAGCAGAGCAAGGAGCACTTGAGCTGACACTCTGATATGGGATGCTAGTATTACACATGGCAGCTTAATACACTGGGCCCTAATGCTGACTGCAACCATTGACTTTTTTTTCAATTGAAGACTTTTTTTCTTTTTTAAATTGGAATGGCAGATTTACAGAGAGAGAGAAAAAAAAACAGAAAAAGATCTTCCATCTGCTGGTTCACTCCCCAAGTAGCTTGCAGTGGTCAGAGCTGAGCTGAGCTGAAGCCAGGAGCCAGAGCTTCTTCCAGGTCTCCCACGTGGGTGTAGAGTACCAAGGCCTTGGGCCATTCTCTGCTGCTTTCCCAGGCCACAAGCAGGAGCTGGATGGGAAGTGGAGCTGCCAGGACATGAACTGGCATGCCCGTGTGGGATCCTGGTGCTTGCAAGGCGAGGATTTAGCCGGGTCCCCCCATTGACTTCTTAACAGCTGAGATGGAAGGTATTTGGCAGCCGGTGAGCACTGAGTAGGTGACAGCAGTGGTATCTGTCACTGACATAGATATTTGCGCTTTGTTTCAGATGCTTGTGCTGTCAAGGCACAGTCTGTTGTCTCCTTTGCTCAGCGTGACATCACCCAGACGCCTCTACAGAGGAGACAGCCCAACAGATTCCCAAAAAGACATGATTGAAATACCTTTGCCTCCGTGGCAGGAGAGAACCGATGAGTCCCTAGAGACCAAAAGGGCCCGGCTGCTGTACGAGAGCAGGAAGAGGGGGATGCTGGAGAACTGCATCCTCCTCAGGTACGCCGGGAGGAGGCTGGGGTCACTGCCCTCACCACAGGCAGCCTTTTCAGCCTCTTTCCTTCTTGTTTTTAGTCTCTTTGCCAAAGAGCACCTGCACCAAATGACGGAGAAGCAGCTGAACCTCTATGACCGCCTGATCAATGAGCCCAGTAACGACTGGGATATCTACTACTGGGCCACAGGTACTGGGCATATGCAGGGTGATGTGGAACAAGGGTGACTTTGGCTGATTTGAGTCAAGAATTTTATTCTAAGCCATTTTAAAAATAGATTTATTTTATTTTTATTGGAAAGTCAGATATACAGAGAGGAGGAGAGATAGAAAGGAAGATCTTCTATCCGATGATTCACTCCCCAAGGGGCCATAGTGGCCAGAGCTGAGCTGATCCGAAGCCAGGAGCCAGCTTCTTCTGGGTCTTCTGGGTCTCCCACTTGGTGCATGGTCCCAGGGCTTTAAGCCATCATCATGCTTTCCCAGGCCACAAGCAGGGAGTTGGGTGGGAAGTGGAGCAGCTAGGACACAAACTGGTGCCGATATGGAATCCCAACAGTTGCAAGGCAGGGATTTAGCCACTAGGCTACTGTGCAGGTTGCCAGACCTCACAATTTAAAATATTCCCTGTGTGATCTTTTACTCAGTAGGTTTGCCCTTGATTTAGCAAAGTTCATGCTATCATTTCTAGGAAAACTTCATTTTTATATGGGTTGAATGATATTCCACATGTGAGTATATTATAGTTCGTTTATCTGTTGCCCAGGTGAGAGATTGAATGGCGTTTCCAGTTTTAGGTGATTATGACTAAAGCTGCTATATGTATGTTGTGAGCATAGGTTTTTGTGTTTCTTGGGTAAATACCAGAAGAACAAATAACAGGGTCATGTGGTAAGTGTATAGTCCACTTCATAGCAAACGTTTCCTTTAATGGTCCCAGTAGCCTGTATTTTAGCCACGGTAGACGATATGGTCTCAGCTCTGCCTTAGAACATGAAAGCAGGATAGATTATAGCAAACAAGTGAGTGTCTGTGCCTATGTTCTAACAACAAAAAATTTGTAGATTTATTTTTTGAATAATTCATTTTATTTTTGATGATGTTCATGTTATTGATAGGGGTGTGTGCCCATGTGGACCTTCAAACGGAGTGGGGGGAGGGTCGAGGAATGGGGGCAGGTGAATGAGACAACTGCCTCCAATCTCCGTTTTTCTCCCGGTATCTGGGAAAGTGGAGGCAGAAGGGGACAGGGCCACTCCCAGCAGCCCAACCACATCAGTACCCAGGAAGGGGGACAGCCAGCCAGTGTCATCCCAGGGTCCCCGATGGGAAGCGTGGTCTGAGATGCTGTTGATTTCATTGCTTCAAGGTTGAGAAAATCCTTCCAAGGCCTATTTCATCGACATAGTCCACCTTGGAGTCTCGTTTTGCGCAGATACTTGCTGTCAAAGCTTGGCCAGGAGAGTTGTCCAGTTTGTTCTGCCCTCCGTGGTACCAGCATTCCTCTGCAGGCCTCAGAGAACTAGTTGTCATGTCCTTCATGAACATCTGGCCTTACCATTCACTGCACAGACCTTAGCAACCAAGGAGACACATTCACTCCTCAATCCTGTGATTTTCACTGTGGTTGAAGTTCTGAGTCCAGTTATCCAGTTGTGGGGGTCCCCAACCTGACTGCTGTGTTTGCCAGCCAGTGAGGGATCTGGTTCAGTCCATCACCCATATCAGCCTAAATAAACTGGTGGCTGCAGTCACCTCGTCATTTCCGTTCCCAGCCCCATCTCATGCTCAAACCAGTGGATACTGCAGCCTATCCTATCCCTGTGTACTGCACACTTGGCCCTCAGGCACAGCAGCAGGAATTGCAGCCTAGTTGGAGAAACCCCAGTAACCCCCACCATGCCTGCTGCACCCCGTTTCCCGCACATGCCAGTGTGTGCAGCAGATTGTTCCAGTCTGTCCCATATCCCATTCGGCTCTTGTACATGTCAATAGGTGTTGGAACCAAGCTCAGCCCAACCGACCCCACTGGCCAACCCACATTCATACTGGCATGTGTCACCGACTGTCCAGCCAGGCCTGCCCCCAGCCCTGACTCTCATGCTCACCAGTGGAAGCTGCAGCCTATCAGAGAGGTGCCCACAATTTCCCTACTAGGCAGGCCCATTCTTAGCCCTGGATCATGTACTTTCCAGGTTGTTCTATAGTATAGCCTGACAGGACTTGTCTCCAGTCCCAGCACGTGCTAGCCAATGCTGTGGCAACCAGCCTGCACCAGTGGATATGGTCGTTTACCTCAGTCTGGCTCTCCCCCAACCCAGCTCACATGCAGGCTAACAAGCTTTGTAGTCCTGCCCAGCCTGTTCTGCCCCCAGTCCTAGCTGTCACACTCACCAGCAAGACCAGTGGTCCAACAGGGCAACCTCCACAGCTCCCCTGCTGGGCTTGCCCCCCATCATGGGTCTTGTGTGTAGGTAGGAGCTGTAGCCCAGACTGGCATGGCTTCCCTTAGCTTGGCATTCACTAGTGGATGCTGCAGCTTGGCTTGACCTGGCCTGCCCCCAGTGTCAGTTCCTGCTGGTGGGTTCTGCAGACTAGCCAAGCCCATCTGGCCCTATTGTGAACTGGCTGGCATTGTGGCCTAATCTGGCATGTCTTGGACCCTGTCCTGGTTCTCACATCTGCCAGTGGTCCAGTCTGGGCTGCCCCTAGCCTTGATTCTTGTGCTCCCCTGCAGGAACTGCATCCTGACAGAGGAATTCCTCAAGTTCCTCCATCAGGTCATCTCCCCGTGGCGGATCTTGTGCACTTCAGTCTAACTTGGCCCACTTCCTGTCCTGGCAGGTACAGCAGCCTTGTACGACCAGCCCACACCCATTCTGGCTCTTGTCGGATGCTACAGTCCAGCCATACCTGGTCCACCCCCAGACCCAGCTCTTGCATGGTTCAACAGGTGCAGAAACCTGACCTAGCCTATGCTAAACCTAAACACACTCTTGCTCTTGCAAGCACCAGTTGTTGCTGTAGTCTAGCCCCGACTGACAGTCCCCATACTCCATCCACACCCGTGTCGAGGAATACTGTAGCCATGTCCAGCCCAGTTCACCACTCCCATTCCAGCTCTCACACTCACCAGTGAGAACCACAGCCCAGCAGGTGTGGGACCTTAGCTCCCCAACCAGGCTTTCTCCCAACCACAAGTCTTGTGCATGCCGGCGGTTGCTCCCACCCAACCTGGCATAGCCCGTCACCCATCTTGGGCTTTGCTATCAGATGTTGCGGCCTGACCTGGTCTGCCCCTCTTCTCCACACTCCGGTCCCAGCTCTTGCTGGTAGGTGTACTGCAGCCTGGCACTGCCCAGCTTGCCCCCATCTCTGGCTTACATACAGACTGGTAGATGTGACAGCCTAGCCTTGCATGGCCCGTACCCCATCCTGGCGCCTGCACATGCCAGTGTGCTATGGTTTGGCCTGGTGCTGCCCCCACCCTTCCAGAGCCAGCCCACACACCTGCTGACAAGTGAAGCAGCCCTGCCCTGGCTAACACCCAGCCCTGACTCACATGCTCACCAATGAGCGTGATGGCCCACCAGGGGAGTTTCCCAAGTTCCCCCACCAAGCCTACTTTCAGACCCACATCTCATGCATGCCAGTGAATGCTAGGCCCTTAGCTGTCACACTCTGCCACCCCCCTGCCAGTGTTGGCTTTTGTGTGTACTGGTAGATGTTGTGGCCTAATCCACCACACACCCAATTCTTGGTGCACCTGCAGGTGCTACAGCCTAGACCAGATGGCCTGTACCCAACCCCAGTGCCCATGAGTGTTGATGAGTTCCCTCTTTTATTTCTATTATTGGTAATCTATGGTCATTTTTTGTATTTTTGATCAGTCTGACTACAAATTTATCAATTTTACTCATGATTTCAAAGAACTAGCTCTTTAATTTCACTTATTTTCTCTGTTTTTCTGCTTTTGGTAATACTGATATTTTTTTTCCTTTGATTCAAATGACTTTTTAAAAAATGTTATTTGGCTATTTATTTGAAAGACAGAGTTACAAAAAGAGAGATGAAGGGTTAGAGCAAAAAGGAGAAATCTTTTCTTCCTGGCTCATACCTCAGATGACCACGGCAGCCAGGGCCGGGCCACAGCCAGGAGCCTGGACTCCACCCAGGTCTCCCATGTGGGTGAGAGGGGCCTGCACACCTTGGCCATCCTCTGCTATTTCCCCTGGCACACCAGATGGGACCTGAATTGGAAGTAAAGCAGTTGGGACTCCAACTGGTGTCTGCTGGGATGCCAGCATCACAGGTGGAGGTCTAACTTACTGAGCCGCAGTGCCAGCCCCTGAATAACTTCCTTTAAACAAACAAACAACAAAAAAAAATCACTTTTTTTAAAAAAAAAAAAGATTTATTTTTATTGGAAAGACAGATATAAAAAGAGGAAGAGAGACAGAGAAGAAGATTTTCCGTCCGGTGATTCACTCCCCAAATGACTGCAACGGCCAAAGCTGTGCCGATCTGGAGCCAGGAGCCTCTTTCAGGTCTCCCACGCAGGTGCAGGGTCCCAAGGCTTTGGGCCGTCCTCTACTGCTTTCCCAGGCCACCAGCAGGGAGCTGGATGGGAAGCAGGGACTCCAGGACACGAACCGGTGCCTGTATGGGATCCCAGCTCATGTAAGGCGAGGACTTTAGCTGCTAGGCTACCACGCCAGGCCCAGGTACTTCCTTTTTAATCCATGAGTTATTCAGTTTCAAACATTTGAAGTTTCACAATTTTTTGAAGTTTGTTTTATGACTTGATAAATGTTCCAAGTGCGTCTGATTATGTCGTGTTTTGTCTTTTCTTTATGGATAACGTGTTGTGTAAATCTCAACTAGGTTAGTTGGTTGATACTGTTCTGCATGTCTTTTATGTTCTGATTTTCTGAGTATTTGTCAGTTAGTTACTGTATAATTGTAGATTCACCAGTTACTCTTTTCTGTCCATTTTTGCTTTTTCCATTTTTAAGCTCTGATATGTGATAATACATTTAGGATTATTTTTCCTTAGTGAATTGATTACTCAGACATTGTAATTTGCGTGTCTTTATTACAATACTGCGCTTTGTTCTGAACTGGTCTGAGAGCGACAGCAGTAAGGCGCTCCAGCTAGTCTTCGGTTAGTGTTATGTTGCATATATGTCC